TCTCGAAGCAAAAAGCTTGGATAATTTTGCGAATGGTCAAAAATATCTTGTTTCGCATAATTGCGATTATTTCTTACAAGTAGAAATTTTACGCCTCGTCCCAATAAGAAGTAAAAGTTTTAAATGCTGTAAAATCAACCCTGAGATTTTGAATGGCTCGTAGTCGCTTGATAGTTATGGGTAAGTAAATTGGATAACATTGTTTAGGAACCAGTCCAACCCGGATGCGAATTTGTTGAAACCTACTGCCGAAGGAACAGCTTTCCTAGGTCTACCATATACTACAACAACCATAATCAGATCCTTGAGAGGGGTGAAAAGTCGGTTGTAAAAGCATCACGCAGCAAAAAGAACGTTATCGTCGTGGTGATAGACTCAGTATCGCATTCGAACTTTATCAGAAATCTGCCGAAAAGTTTGGAGGTAGGATTATTCTCCTAAGCTCAATTTCATATCTGAAAGTTCAAAAATTTTTGCTTAGGTGCTCAACACCCTATACAAATCCTACATTTTCGACGGGATGAACAAAATAGGCGATAATTCCTTTCCAAATGCAGTTGCCTTCCTTGCAGGTAAGTTAAAAATACTCTCTAAGCGGCTGTCCTTAAAGCACTTTGCTCTCCAGGGAAAAATCATGCAACTGAATTCGGTAATGTTTACGGTCACTTCGACGATCGCCCTTTAATTTGGAAAAACTTTGAGAAGGCTGTAAGTTAGAAAATGAAAGAATTTGGAAAAGTGAAAACTTGCTTATTTCAGGGTTATACAACATACTATGCTGAAGATTTCGTAGATTTCAATTTATTCACCTATCTCGCCAAAGGATTTCGAAAGAAACCTGTACATCATTACCTTCGGTAAGTTTAAAGACTTGGTAACTGACCAAACTGTAATTTTGTCCATAATTTCGAAAAAAAAGGACCTTTGATAGTTCCTAAAAATCTCTATGAGATAGAGAAAACATTGAGAATAAGGTTGATGTTCAAGTAGGTAAGGATTACACCACTATAAATGAAAGTATGGGTTAGACTAAAAATTGGAAGCAAAGCAAAGGCAAAGCCACATCCAACCTTTTTTCGACAAAATTCCCTCCTACTTTATTAATCGTTTCATATCAAGATGAATATGAAGGAAAAAGTAAAATTGGTCTTTTCATCTTAAACTCACAAATTCATCTTCTGAAAAGTCCTCTGGGACAAGATCGAGGCTCAAATAGTTTGACGTAATGTGCCTCAGACGGTATATTGATTTTTAATAACATATTAACTGATTATTAGAAGCTGAGCTAACCCTTCAAGGATAACTTCGATTTACCCGTTTTTAAAGGATGATCTGATGGATTTTGGATATTTTTGATTAGCTAAATAATACCCAGGAAGCATCTGTGCAGGATCCACCTTATGTGATTAAGGAATCTCTAAACTAATCAAAATAGTAGCAACTGTTCTTTTTAGACCATTTTGGCTGAACATCTATGGAAGCTACCTGCATCGGAGAAGCAAATTTCTTTGTTATGGAAATCATGCCATGTATAATCTTCAAATTAACTACTTATCGCAGTTTTTAAGAAAAAACAAAGGTATGTTTAGGTTTATCACGTAAAATATGCCCTCAGAAGAGGTTGATCTTCCAGATTCGCTAAAATTTGCATTAAATTGGTTTACTGAAGTTAGTCACGAGTATTTGAATACAGTTAATGTTGCAGACGAAGATTTCGCAAATTTTCTCAGGAATCATTATGATGATCTCAAGGTAAGTTACTAGTTATTAACCTGAATTTCTAAAGTTTTGGTAGCTTCTTACCACCTTTGAGCAAAAAATTAGGTTTTTTCTTATCAAAAAAGATCTTTGCTTGCTAATTTTAAATTTGGACTAAAGTCCACCTTACATTGTGAAGTAAAGAGATGGATTTGGTTCTCTATAAAAGTAAAATTCCAGAAGAGATGGATGATAGCAAACAACGTAAAAATTTTAATTTCTAAATTTTCGCACCTTCTTGTCATATCTAAGCAAAAACAAAATAATTGAAAGAAACTTTCAGGAATCTTTCTTTTTCGTGCTCTCTGATCATGGTCACAGATTCGATCCAATACGTCAAACTAACGTTGGACAAATTGAGGAAGGTTTTC